TCTTGGTTCCACCTATCATATTCAACACTTCCATACTTCGGTTCCTTCACTCTCCCATTGATGTATCCTATTTTCCCCCTAGCAGTGATGTAGAGTTTTATTCCCCTAGACCACTCAAGGTAGTTCAGACCATCAAAGGGAATAACAGCCACGGGGAAACTCATATCCATTCCCCCACTCACTCCATTGTGGCTCCCTGGAATCTCTGAAGTAGCAGAATTCTTAGACGACATGGTCAAAACAAACAATCAGTCCCAAACACCGGACTTAGGATCCCTCCTTACTCCAAAACAAATTGCTCCACACACATACTCAGTCCACACCCACACACTTGGGTTTGAAAACAGTCTGAGCACAAACAGTACCAATTTCAGGACAAAAAAAGGCAAGATTCGACAGATTTCAGACCTATACGGCTTAACAGTCCCAACCTACTAGCCTTCCAGAATTTCTAAGAACATTAATCAGCAGGAGAGATCCTTAACACTTATAATCAAGCCAAAAAATTGAGATAACAGGTCATCCTTGACCTACAATCACCTTAACACAGGAACATGATCACAGGATCCCAAAAAACAAGAGGTAACCTCACAAAGGTCTGACAGCATTCAGCAGCCCAGATTCATTTGGTTTTTTCACTTGGTACACGACCAAGGAGGGTAAGGCAGAGAAAAAAGGAAGGACTATACTAGTTGTAGATCTGTTTTCTTCAGCCCAGATTCAGATCTTTGTTCCACCCAGATTTAGCAAGTTGGAAAAGGAAGGAAGCTTGTTCGATCTGTTCTCTCAGTCAGTATTCCCGCTCTGATACCATCTTGACAGTGTAGCCGACCAGAAATAAGAGGAAGAGAAGAGAAGAGAAGAAGAAGAGAGAAGGGAGAAGAGAAGAGGAGAAGAAGAGAGAAGGGAGAAGAGAAGAGGAGAAGAAGAGAGAAGGGAGAAGAGAAGAGAAGAGATTGGCAATAGAACAGTGCGGGCGGCGCCAGCTTTTATTATATTATATAGGGCGGCAGAAATAAGAAGGGAAAAGACCCTTGTGCCCCTGCTGTAAGTGAGTACAATAACAGACATAACAGAAATAAAAAGTGCTTTAACTAACCAAACAGATCCTAACACAAATAACTAAATTATTTCAACACTATACATGATATCCCAAATGTAAAATGAGACAACATGGTATTATAGAGAGAAATTAAGAATGCCCAAAGTTTTGCAAGAGCTCATCCCATACTGCACTGATGTCTGACTTTGAAATGGTCATAACTTCAACAGGTTCCCCTTTCCTTCCTATTACACATGGATAGTGTTACTGTATTGTGCCCAAAGAAGACAATTCATTCTGAAAAAAAAAAAAATGTTGCCTCCTTGGTGCATGCCAGATTTTAAAATTATAGAGTAACATTCTATAAGGAGGAGCTCAACTAAAATTATCATTAAAACCATAGATCTTTGTTGACTTTATTTGTTTAACCACTTCATAGAGGAAGAGGAGTTTCACTAATAGCAATCAACCTAGTTAAGGAGCCAATACAATGTAAATTTAAGGACTTTCTCCAAAATGAAGAATTCCAATGGATAAATTAAGGATATCCCCAAACAAGTGCATGGAAAAAGTCTCAATTGAACCTTTTAAACTTTCAGCATGTTAGTTCATGAAAGCTCCATGAAGCTGCAAATTGAGAAATTAATGGAACAGGTTTGGATCCATATAAGTAATAGTATAACTGGACAAAGTGACAAGTTAAAACGTTAACAACCACCTTGCTAAGAAAACAACTAAATGAACTTCAAATCTATTGTCTAAGATTAGTTGCATGAAATCATCACACAACAGAAAACAGCAGCATTTGGTGAAATGCACATAAAATTGCACAAAAATTCCTTAATTCCTAACTTGCTATAAGAATTTAACTTTGGAAGGATAAAGGGACCAAAAGTCCATATCTTGGGATAGTCGTGAACGAACCAAAATGATGGTTTTACAAACCAGGACAAAAAAGGAAAGATTATTACTAGATTACATGTGGAAACAAGAATGAAAAGGCCATTACTAAATTAATTCCTGATGACTTCCAGAAGCAATTAAAAAATAATTTCTCTAATTGGAAAACAAAAAACACATGCAAAGGTGAGGTTTCTTTCCAGTACACTAAAATAGAATACATAGGAACAAAATCATACAACTGAAATAATGTATCAGTATGTAAAATCTCCCAATACCACCTTCACATAAAAAAAAAGAAAAGAAAAGAAAAGTGAGCGCCTAGTTGACTAATACGAACAAGGACGCGTTTCAGAATAGTCACGAACAAGCAACACTGATGATTTTATGAATAAGCAAATAAATAATAAAAGGATAGCGACGAACTTCGAATAAATTACCATCGAAAGCTGGAATGATACAGTAAGCCCCGCGTTCTAAATTATGCAGTCTCTTATCGATTGTCAACGGTAGAATTGTGGAAGTTATAGAAGATAATTATAACCAAGAAACATAGGAGAAAGGGGAAGAAACAAACAAGGAGACTAACCGATGTGGGGGGATCAATTGGGTTAGGTTTCATCTGGCATGCTGGCCTCCGAAGGGCGTGAGTTCTTCTCTGAGTTCTGAAAGAGGTTCCCGAGAATTGCAGGGACTTAGAATTTTGAAAAGATGGTGTAAACCTGTGAAGCCCTACAGGGCTGTACCCGGAAGCTACACGCGCCATGCCAGAGTCTCGTTATTCCTGTTTTTTTTTCTTCTTCTTCTTTTTTTTTTTTTTAACGGTTTATAAACCATTAAACCCTTTCTGTTTATTTTAGTTATCGACGGTTCGACACGTTAAGCGATCCATTGCCTTCTGATTTTCTTTGACCTGCAAAGCTTACCAATCTCGCTGTCTCTTCGCAAAGAAAAGTAAAATAATGTATTATAGGGTCTCGCCTCTTGACGATTACCCTTTGCTTTTTGTTTTTGACAATTACCTTTTGAACTTTACTTTTCGACAAATCCCTGAACATAATGGAATATTGGAATTAGGAAAAGGGAAATTTTCGAATCCCTTAATTTGTTCCTCGAACTCTAAAACATAATAATTCACAGTACTCAAACTTTTAAAATCTATCAATTCAGTATTTATTAAATGATATTTGAAAATATATAAATGTCTTTCAAATGTTACTTAATTTTTTTATCAATCATCTAAATGTTGATAATAAATAAATAGTTTTAAATTATTTTTTTTTCTATTCAATAAAATTGGGGTCATGTCCTCGATAGACATTCTAGTGATCCCAATTTTTACATTTTATTTATTATACTTGGAAAAATCTATGATGTAGAAAATATATGATATAGAAAGTGTTTTAACCAATTAAAACCCATCCATTTATTTTGATAAATAACATCTTATTTGCTTCCATGTTTGTGATTTCAATTTATTGATTAGTTATTTTTTCCATATCATTATCGAACCCTTATACTTATGGTATCTACCCTGAACCCACTCCATCACTTACCATAAATAGTAATTTACTTATTTCACTATTAACAAAGAACAAATATTTAAATTTAATTACAAATTAATAATAATTTATTAACAATAATTATAGTTTAGTTAACATTAGTTATCGCACCGGGCCTTTCTAGTAATAAATATGCAATACATATATATTTATAACATATAAAATACTAGTTATTATTTAAAATATAATATTTTACATGTATTTATAGTTTTTTATTATATTTATTTATATAATATAAATATAAAAACCAACAAATCGAATTGATGGTTAACAAAACCAATCAACCGATCGACTTTGATTTGGTTTAAATTACCGGTTTTCTAAAAATCGATAGTTCCAGTTTCCAAAGTAAAAGCACACTTTGAGCTCAGGATATTAACCCTAAAAAATGATTACCCCATCAGACAGACAACCGAGGTCTCCAGAAATTGGGATAGAAGTTAAAAAACCAACTAGTTTTACTAAACTGGGGCCGGTTCAGGTTCTCCGGTTGGCTGACTTTTAGAGACTGGACAAACTGGCCTTCGGTTCTCCGACCGGATTGGTCGGTTATATGAAGTTCTGAAGTCTTAACACTTGAATTAAACCCGCTTATACATTTATCAGACCGCATCATTCAATCAAAGCCGTTCATATTTTCCCGTTCCTCCTCAAAATTCCCCTCCAAAATTTCAACTGAGTTCGTTTATTTATTTACTTTTCGTTTTCCGCCACAAGGGTTTTGAAGTGAAGAGTCCGAACGTTCCTTTTCCTTACTTGTATACGAGCTTCAATGACCGAAGAAGCCCTAAGAAAGGAGCCAGAAATCAAATCCATGGAGGCGGAAGATAACCTGGCTGCAAAGAATGACGAAACTCCGGCTGAACCGCAAGAAGCACCCATTGATGAAGGAAGTAAAGAATCTTCCAGTGGAAAAGAAGATTCCTGTCCTCCTCAAGATTCTGATAAAACACTAGAATACGCTTTGGAACTAATGGAGAGAGGATCGGAGGCAGTTAAAGAAGGTGATTACGCCGAGGCTGCCGAATGTTTCAGCCGTGCTGTTGAAATCAGGTTAGGGTTTACTTTTATTTCTTTTTTAATCGAGTTTATATGATTGTTTTTCCTATAATTGTATTAGTTTCTTCGTTTGCTGAGGCTAAATTTATCAACGTGCCATGTTTATTTAATATTTACTGCTCATTTTGTACTCTTAATTTGTTTCATGCACTTCATCCACAAATGCACAGAATACGGTGCTTTCTGTGGTTTATTTCTTTCCATTTTCCATTTCATTTATTTGGGCATCTATTTTGTTTAGGTTTTACTTGCGGACATTAGTTCTAGGTTTGAGAAATAATATTATCTTAGAGCAGTATATATGTTTTTTTAAGGCAATGAGGAATAAAAAACGACTAACAAAGCCTAGGGAAAGGCACTCCCTACTAATAAAATATAATATAATTCCCAAAGGGCGCTATCCACATAAGATAGACTTCTTTTGTGATTTTTATTCCCTCTCGATGGGTGTGGTTGTAGACAATGTTAAGATTGTGATCACGAGCTAATTGTTTGCAATCTTCTTCCATCGCACTGCACCTCCTTGAAGTTCTCTCTGAATCCTTAAGTGCTTGAATTATTATCTTTGAATCTCCTTCAATGATGATCAATCTTGAGCTGAGTTAGGAAGCTATTTTTTGGGCTTCTTAGGAAGCTATCGTTTCCACAATTTTAACCTTTGCATCACCAATCCTACCCATGATGGCTTTTGTGAATTCACCTTTATGATTCCTAGCAATGCACCCAATAACACAATTACCACTTGTCATGGTAGTGGCATGAAAATTAATTTTTATTTGATTATCCTTTAGGGGAGATCCATTTTATCCACTTAATACTTTTGGGATGAATTCTTTCCCTGATTAAATGAACTTTATTTGCCTCTTGGTATTCTATTAGATAAACCGGAGCTTTTTGGACAGTGTTAGGTGGTTTACATTCTCTATTTTTAAAAATCTTTTTGTTTCCTTTCTTCCATATATACCATACAAGCAAGCTTATTTTCTACTAATGTAAGCAGTGATTTAAAAGGTGTGCCTCAGGCGTGCCTAGGTGCACAGGAGAGGTGCATTTTAAGGTAAGTGCCTTGCCCAGGTCCTAGGTGCAGCCCTTTCAAAAGGCGCACGCTTGGTGTGCCTTGTGCCTTAGCCCAGGTGCACGCCTTTTGAAAATTTGATGCTTTTCTTTTTATTTTTCTTTTTTTGAGTCTAACAGCTAGGCCAGGGGTGGAGCCCTCGGACCCCCGTGCCATGCTCCTCGAGGCAAGCCCGAACAAGCCCATGTTGGGGTCTTAAATTCTTAGTTCTCACACAAAAAATAATGATTTTATAATTTTAATTACTCTCACCGAAGCTTCGAGAACCCCCTATTTGGTAATGTTGTTCATTCATTCATCCTACTAATATCTTCTTAGAAAGCAATTAAAATTATAAAATCATTAATTTTTTGTGTGAGAACTAAGAATTTAGGGCCCTAAAATGGGCTTGTTTGGGCTTTCCTCGAGGGGCGTGGCACAAAGGCGGCTCGTAGAATCTGGAATGTAATATGTCACGTTAGCTACTTGAAGTAATGTAATTGAGAAAAAAAGAGATTGTAGGTTTTATATGCTTGAAATGTTTTACATGTTTGATTTTATTTTTAAATTCTTATTTGAATATGATTTACATGTTATGTTTATGTATTTTAATTTTAGATAATAGGTTTTTTAAAACATTTATTTTAAAATTTAAGTTTATATTTTTTTAATATTATATTTAATAATTCTTTTGATTTCTTTGCATTTTTTTTGAAATTTTAGCATTTTTTATAATTTTTGTGCCTTGCTTAAAAAAGGCGCGTGCCTCGCCTTGCACCTTGCGCCTCAGGCGTAAATCTACCCCTGTGCCTTTTTTGCTCCTTGCGCTTTTAAAACACTGGATGTAAGTCAAAAAATTTTCCCAATCTTGTCATCTATCATCTCATTCTACCAATCTAATAGAGATTGACTATTATTCCCTTTTTGGTCTAGGGATGAAGTCTTCAACTAACATCCATATTTGCCGGTTAGTGGCAATTCAAAAAAATGTGATTGGTGTATTCTAAATCACCACAAAAGGGAAGTCTAGGCTACAATTTAGCCTTGTAAAAGTATGGATTTATAAAAGACCATGGACTTAGTTGACTTGACTTGAACCTGAACCAAGCTGGCCTGTTCCAACCCAAGATAACAAACCAAGCCAAGCCTTAACTAGTGGCTGACAGATAACCACTTATTGCTGGCTTAGCATTCTAGAACGTTCATTAACAAGAAAAGTAAAAAAAAAAAAAGAATATATAAAGGGGCCCCATGTCCGAATAGGGAATTCTCCCCTCACCCCCAAACTCAGGTCCTCTCCCCCCTGTCTTTCATTCTCCATCGACTGAACAACATACCCAACATTGCCTCTCTCTCCTCATTGACTTGGCAATTGACTCAACATCATTCGGAATTCCACCACTGGACATCTACAACAGCTTGATCCCTCGTCAGGGTATGTAGTGTAGCCCCTTTGGGGGTTCGTCCAATCTCCTTTCCCTCCCCTCTTCTTCCCCCCTTTCGGTTCGCTTGCTGTCATTTACCTTAGACTTTTGAAGGTTCGACCACTGCTTAGAGTTCACTACGCTCACAAACCCTTTATCATGAAGTCTTTTTTTGTAGGTATTTTGCCTCTTAACATTAATTGAACGAATATTTTCAATTTTGGAGGACATTGGATCTTGTCTATGATTTTAGTTGCTTTCACTAGACTCATGTCCACTTCACCTTCTTCATTAGTGGAGGTGTAAGTCGATTTTAGAGAGAACAAGCCTGAAGGGCTGACCCCTTTCCAAACTATTTCATCTTCTCCAAAATTGGGATGTGAATAAATGGAATTTTCTGAGCATTCTTATTAGGCAGCATCTTCCTTTTTTTTTGTGAGGAAGGTAAAGTGTAATGTATAAATATGAAAAGTATGTACGGTCTTGTACAATGAGATTCTGTACAAGTATACTCGGAATTAGGCCCCCCAAAAAAGTCCACCCTCAAACAAGTGAATTTGGATTATGTCCTCACATAATCTGTTCTCACACTGTCCTCACAGCCTTTAAAGCTATGCATTGGGAATATCTTCCTCTGAATAGAAATGTACAATACAAGTATGGAGATGTTCCCAATGCATGGCTTCAATGGCTGTGAGGACGCAATCCGCTCTCCAAACAAGCTGCAGAAAAAAGAAAGGGTCCAAATTTGGGAATCCCCCTTTGACGGTTCTAAGAAGACCTTTTGATATACCTGAAAACAGAGACCACACCAACTCTATCCCAGAATCTCTGAGACCTCGTCTGAAACCTAAATCCCAATTAAGCTGAGGTCCTGAACCAACAGAAGAAACTAAAGATGAGGTAGTTAAGTTTTTGTACCTAGAAAGTGAGAACAAGGAAGGGAATTGATCCTTAAGTGGTGTCTCCCCAGTGGTTTAAAAGGTGCACCTAGGTACATAGTCGAGGTGCATTTTAGGGTAGGCACCTCGCCTAGGTCCTAGGCAACCCATTCAAAAGGCGCACACTTGGTGCGCTTGGTGCGCCTTAGCCCAGGCATGCGCCTTTTGAAAATTTGACGCTTTTTTCTTTCTTCGAGTCTAGCGGTTGGGTCGGGGCCTCTGTCCCCAAACTCTCGTGCCACGCCCCTCGAGGCAAGCCCAAAATCGCGAGCGAATCGGAGCTTCAAGAACCCCTAATTTGGTAATGCTGTCCATTCATTCATTCTAATAAATATCTTCTTAAAAGTAATTGAAACTATAAAATCATTATTTTTTGTGTGAAAACTAAGAATTTAAGACCCTAACATGGACTTGTTTGGGCTTGCCTCGAGGGGCATGCCACAAAGGCAGCTCATAGAATTAGGAATGTAATATGTCACATTAGCTACTTGATATAATTGAGAAAAAAAGAGATTGTGGGTTTTATATGCTTGTAAATGTTTTAAATTGTGCACCTTGCCACAAAAAGGCATGCACCTCACCTTGCGCCTTGCGCCTTGCGCCTTGCGCTCTAGGTGCCAAATGGCCCTTGTGCCTTTTTTGTGCCTTTCGCTTTTAAAACACTAGTCTCCCCCACCCACACATGTTCCCAAAACTTTACCATATTTCCAGAACACAAATTATACCTGACAAAGGGTAGAAAACAAGGAAGAATGGCATGGATGGCTTTCCAAGGTGCTTTTGCTGATTCTCTAGCCGAAATTCCTGCCTCCCAGCCATCTACCATCAGCCTGTGTATGCTCTTAATCACTTTTGTCCATAGTTTGTCTTGATCCACTGGAAATCTCCATAACCACTTACCCAACAAGGCTGTATTCCTCTTTTGAATGTTCCCAATTCCTAGACCCCCTAGCTCCTTACTTTTAATCACCATTTCCCATCTCACCCTATGATCCCTCTTTTCCTCTCCTAGTTCCCATAAGAAATCCCTCATTATCTTCTCCAACCTTCTACAAATCCCCGCAAGCATCCTAAAGACCGAAAGAAAGTAAACTGGCAGATTTGCTAAAGTTGATTTGATCAATGTAATTCTGCCACCCATCGAGAGATAATTCTTTTTCCAGGAGGCAAGCCTTTTTAAGAATCTATCCACCACTGGGTTCCAAAAATTCATGCTTCTAGGGTTACCCCCAAAGGTAAACCCAAATAATTCATAGGCCACTGACATACCTCACACCCCAATATTATTGCACATTCAATTACTTCATCTTCCATGTTGATACTTGCAACACAAGTCTTATTGAAGTTAACTTTCAGATTTGTCGTTTTCTCAAGGACTTGCATCACCTCCTTCATATTCCTCACCCAATTTAGATCACCTCCCTCACAGAATAGGATAATATCATTAGCAAATTGCAGATGAGTAATAGGCACTCTTTCTCTTCCTACTCTCCAACCTCTCACCAAACCCCTTAAATATGCTCTTTGGAAAAGAATTCCTAGCACTTAGGCTACTAATGTGAATAAGAAGGGAGG